CCATTCCTACCACGTGGCAGAAGAGCGTGTTTGTTTGTTTTGTTTTTTTTTTGGCCAATATAGATCAAGAGCGTGTTGAATTTTGGGGAATACGTCCCTAGTAGTAGCAGCAGCAGCAAATATTTTTGACAGTTAGATCTTGATTATGCCTTGAGATACACACACATATATTGTTGTTTACTGATTATATTTTATATTATATTTTCATTTATTCAATTATTTGATTATTTTGCTAACCGTTAGTAATACTGCAGGATAGTTGTGCTAAAAAAATGTATATGATTAATTTTTCAAAATTAATATCTTCTTCCGAGAGTGGGATAGAGCGATCGTATACATATGTATATATGTACATGTACTCTGTATTCTATTATATTTTCTTAGGATGTCTTTGGATCCATAAAAGTAAATATTTAGATTCAAATCAAATACTCAATTTGAATACGTAAGAATTTTTGAATTTGAATTAAATCTAAACTCATATTTTATTATAAATTTTTTATAATTTTAAATTTTTTTTAAACCCTAATTTTTTTAGCATATCTATTCATGTTTTTATTATCGATGCCTCTTATGTTCTTGTCATTTCCCTCATCTTTCATTTTCATTCTTACCAATTAAATAATGGAGGAAACCTGTCACTTTCAATCTTTCATTTTTACTTCAAATGTTAGCTTGTCTCTTATTTATTTTTAAAATTTTTTACACTATTCAAATAAATTTTTTTAAATAAATGGATTTAAAATATAAGATTTTAAATTTAAAATTTAAATTCAAATACATTGCTTTTCTATTGTTTTGGAAAAATAAAACAAATATATATATATATATATATAAGAATAACATGCCCATCTATACGTATAGACTTATTTGAATAACTCTCAAAAGTATATTCAAATGTGTTTTTATCAAATTTAATAAATAATTCGAACCTTCAAATATATTTTTGACATGTATAAATTGAAATCTAAACGAGCACTCTACAGTTCTTCATGCAACCGATTCTCTCGCACTAGCAGATTAATTAGGTCAACGAAGGATGGGGAAATTAAAAATGAATGACGTTTGTTGATACGTGCACGTCAATCGCTTATTTAATTATTTAATTCGTTAAGATGAACCAGCCATTGAATAACTGATAGCTACATTGGCAATATATTAAAATAATAATCAAAGCAACCATGATTATATATGCATTCACGGGAATACGCTTACTTTGGATGCTTCTATTGACTATTATATATGGACAATACAATACCATTTAGATAAATTATTAGAAACGAAAATAATTTCATAATTAGCTGACAAATCACAAACCTTCCTTTTCTTTTGTTCAAAACCTACGATATATCTTTGTAAGCGAGCAATCCCAGGCCGAATTCAACCACCACATTTGGCGATTCATACCAACACACATACACGCAATATAAAGTTTGTGTAACTTTTAAAATAGATTTATATTACCAAGTGAGTGTGGTATAAATGGTAGAGTTCTGTATCTCTTAAATATCATTCTAGAGTTCATATTTTAAAAGTGTGTATAAAAAAACATTACTAGGAAAGGAATAACTCCTTAAATGATCTTCAAATTTCTCAAGTGATTAGTATCATAGCTATCGATTGTGAGGTATCTTAGGGCACAAAAAAATAAATTTGTATTTTTTCATGGTTATGTATATTTTATAACTGATTTTGATGGGCTAAATTACTATAGGAATAAAATGGTAAAATTGTTTATAGGATTCAATGACAAAATTTTGCTACTAAACTATTAGGTTTAAAAGCGTCTATGATCTCAAACTCATTTTTGGTGCAATATTCCCTTCAAACATTTTACAATGGTGCAATATTACTCCTCCTATTAACAAATATTAACTTTTGTGGTTAATTGACCAAAATTATAGAAAAGTATATAAAAAATTATGGAAAAAGATTAAGAAAACTTTTTGATTCTTTTCTGTGATTTTTAATGTCTTTTTTCTATAATATTTGGTCAATTAATAATAAAAGTTAATTTTTGTCAACAATAGGAGTAACATTGCACTATTTTCAAAAATTAAAGGGAAACATTACATAAAAAATAAAGTTAAGATCCTAGACACTCCTAAATCTATAGTTTAAGGATAAAATTACTTTTTAACCTTTGTTTATGTGAAAACTAATTATTCGTTGTGATTGAGCTTATTGGTAAGATGTCATATGTAGTGCCACAAATGTGACCATTTTATAAGGCGATATAATATCAAACATTCATGCGTCATTTTATTAAAGGAAATGAGCAGGGTTCAAGAAATGAGAGCAGGATTTTGTGCTAACAAATAAACCATGGTTTGTAGTACCAAAAAAGAGAACCAGAAAGAAACTATTACACATGTGCATTTATTACAATATTTCAAATCCATTGTATCTATGATTAAACGCTTGAATGAGGTTTCCAGTTTTAGTGAAAAAAAAAAAAAACAAAAGAAAAGGGTCCCGCAAACCAACAACGATCGGATTGAGTGAAATAAACTCAACTTTTTAAGTGAAATCGAGTTTTTAAATTTAATTTGTAACTAGAAAAGTTACATTGAGATAATTATATTCTCCAAATGAGTTTAACGGTACTCAAACACTTGATCATATAATATCAGATATCAAATGTATGTAATGCATGCATGCATACATGTATCATGGTGAGGTTCTATATAGTTTCTGATATTCGTGCACTACGGGGTGTGTCTTTGAGAATCTTGGAAAAAGTCTTTTATTGATAGTGAAAACAAAAACAGAAATCATCATCATTGATAGTTTCAACAAAATCTTAGGCAACATTCAAAATATATCTTGCCAAAGCGAATTCAATAAATTAAATTCGAAATAGGAAGAATAATAAATAAGGACTTTATAAAAATATTAATGTCAAATTAAAAATTTTAATATTAAAACACGATAAAAGGAGTACTGAAATGTGAAAACATCAATATTGAAAAGTCCTAATTTGACATTAATGCTCTTCTAAGGTCTTTATTTGTCATTCTCCTTTCAAAATATTCATAGCAATGACAAAATTCAAAGTCAAGTGGCACCCAGCAAGTGTTGGGGTTGATAAATGAATTGAAGAACAACTAATCAATTTTGTATGATTTGCAGTTTGATGAATTGCAAAACCTCCTCAAAGAATAAAAAACAAGGGAAAATAGAAACTTTTGTGCTTTGGTATTAGTCCATATATATATATTTGATTTCATTGTTTCAAGTCACTTAAATTTTATCTATCTATAATGTTAATCTCTATATTTTTAAATATGATTATAAGGACTTAACTGTGACTAATCTATACTATGCATAAATTGTATTACTTTTCTTATTTACTTGTTAAAATCATGATGAACTATATAAAAAATGAGTAGAAGACAAAAAGCAAACAGGAAAGTAAATCAAAATATTTAATTGTGCAATGAATAAAACTTCATAAAGAAGAAAACACACAACTAAAGCAAATGAGCAAAAAGATTAATAGTTATTTTACTTATACAATGTTTAACTCATCATAATTTTATCAACTCGTCAGTAAAATTAAACAAAATTATGTACTCATTGGTAGATTTAACCTTATTAGTGATAATAAAGACTAATATTGCAGCACATGAAACTTAAAAAGACTTAGAACAACAAAATAAAAGTATAGAAATTGATATTAAAATTAATTAATAGTTATATTTTTTGAAAAAAAATAAAAATTTATTTGGTTGGCTTGAAGTATGAGTGGCACGTGATTGGAGGTTGAATACTGAGCTTTAGCAAACAAACCACCGGTATACTGCTAATTCCTAAATTCTAAATTCCTAAATTATAAGGACATAATGGTGACTAACATGTACTATGCATAAACTCTATTATTTCTTATACTAACCTTGTTAAAATTATGATATCCGATACAAAACATGAGTAAAAGACAAAAAGAATAAGTAGGATATTAAATTAGATTTCTTAATTTTGCAATGGATGAAGCTTCAAAAGAAAGAAAACACACAATTAGGATAAATGGGCAAATAGATTAATAGTTATCTTGTTCATTCAATAGCTAACTCATTATAATTTTATCAGCTCACTAACAAAATTAAATAGAGTTATATACACATAAGTGGATTTAATTCTGTTGGTAATGATAAGGACTAACATTAAAAGTATCCAAAATTTAATGAATTTAGAATGATAAAACAAAAGTATAAGGACTATATCAAAAATATATTAAAAGTATAGCAATCAATTGTAAATAAACACACAAAATTTAAGGGATTTAGAATGGTGAAACAAAAGTATAAGGACTACATCAAAAATATATTAAAAGTATAGCAATCAGTTATAAATGACAATTCATTTGGTTGACTTAAAATATGAGCAGGTCTGTGTCGATTGTTGATTGGACGTTCAATAGTGAGCTTAAGAAAAGAAACCACCAGTGTAGTCCTAATTCCTAAATCCTAAATTCCTAATGATTGAGCCACCCACGCTTAGCAACCATTTTCAGTTTTGTAAAACACGCCTGCCTTCTTTTACGTTGACCAAACCCTAATTATTTTTCTCACCCTTACGTGCTGCTCTGTCATTGGCATTTTATCAAAAATCAAACCCCATTAACACGGCGGCAAAATCGTAGTATGATTATGCACCATTTGAATAAAATTTAACCCCACCAACCATTTTCTGTTTGCCTCTTAAGAGAACTTGACGATTAGAAATTTGCAGATATAATCAGAGAATTTAGAAGCTGAGCACCAACAGAGAGAAAAGACAAGAGAAGTCCGGAATCTATCGCTTCTTTTTTAAAAATAAAAATAAAAAAAGAAATATAAACAATGAAAAGAAAGGTGAATGCTACACGTCGCAATCATTACCAATATTATTCTTTCCTTCTGGTAAAACTGACCTCAGTGCCAGCTCCGTGGAACTTGACCGAATATATGCTGGCTTTATTCATTAATCGCGAAAACCAAAGTATAATCTAAGAATTAACGAGATCATTAACATTGCATTCATTAATCCATTAAATTCAAAAAGATAAAGGTAAAAATGAAGTAAAAAGTAAAAAACCCTCATTTCATTCTTCTTCCTACTACTGAATCCGCAGGGCCATCTTTGCAAATCTCAAAGATAAAGAGGATAGAGCGATCTGGTTTGCAAAGAAGAAAATTTAATTAGTTTGCACAGCAAAAATAGAGAGAAAGAGAGAAAGGTGTGGTACAGAGCGAACGAATCAAAAGGGGAAAATAAGATGAGAAAATGAAGAAGTTAATTTGTGTTGGTCGGATCATGGAGAAGCAGAGGCATTATCGGATCGATCAAAGTGGAGGAGATGACCGCTGCATTTGGGGCAGTCTTCGACCTGTTTGGGAACCATGAAATACATGAGACAGCTCTTGCACCCGGCGACCACCAAGACGTTATTCTGCTTCTCGGCCGGACTGGTATGCTCTCTCGACGACGACGGACACGACTCCGACGACGACTCTTCGCTGTCGTACCAGCTTTCATCTTCGGAGTAGTTGTCTTCCCCTCCTATCCTTCTAGGATCTTCTTTCGCCTTCATACCGTTGCTCCAGTTTATATAATATATCTCTCCCGTCTGAAATCAAATCAAATCAAAACAAAGCAAATTATCACCGGAGACTAAGATTGGAGAAATCAAAGTGAATTAGGGCAGAGAAGAGAGAGACCTTCAAATCGAGGCATTGTTCCCAGTGGTAAGGGAGAGAGACGTGGGAGTTGAGGTCTAAAGTGGTGGTTGCCGCAACGGCCGAGGAGGTGGAGGAAGTGTCAGTTCCGGCGGCGTCGGAGACGGAATCTGGAGTGGTATGGTGGTTGTTTAATGAACAGCGCTCCAAGGAGGCCGTGATCGTCTCCATATTGGGAGCCGTCATAATTACTTCTTGTGTCGCTTACCAAAAACGAAGCTTTGGTTGGGGTTATGAGGGGAAAAGAGGAAGGGTTGAAACTTGAAATACATAGATATAAGAAGAGAGGTGAGCTACGCCCCTTAATAGGCGCGTACACCTAGCAAAATGGATGGTGGGCTCGCAAACTGTGAGCTACATGCTTAGACACGGCACGCGCTGCATAGGAGCGTTCAAACCACCAATCAGCAGGAGGAGTGAGAGAACTACATCATTCGCTATACCCGAAAAGAATGCCGGAGGCCTCAGCTTTTTTTTCATATATAAATTAACAAAATTAATAAGCCCTTCCTTTCTTAATTTCTCAATAAATAAATTACATTACATTAATATAAAATAGGGAAATTGTCAAGTGAGACATTATAACACCATTAATATTAAATCTACATTTTAAAAAGAATTTAACACTAAAAATTCTCTTGAATGAATACAATATTGAATTTGAAAAAAAAAGTTTTTGTCATTCAAGATATTCTCACAAGTCAAATTGAGCTATTTAAGGCTTAGATCTGAACTTAAAAATTTTATTTGTGAAGAAATCTTAACTTATTATTAATGTTTTTATGGAATCCTTATTAGTATTTGTCATTCTCTCTATTTTTTTTTTAAAAAAATTATTTTCTCTATACCAGTAAAGTCTGAATTGGGGGCCTCAGCTTTTTAATATAATATATTAACGAAGTTAATTATCACTCCGTTTAAGTTTCTCAGTAAAATAGGTTATTATAACCACAGGGATGTAACACGAATGATAGTTGTCCAGGTCCTTCAACATTATTATAGGAATTGATTTTTGAAAGTGCATATAGAGTATCGATTAAAAGATGGCAATTCCTTAAATGGCACTTAAATTTCTCATAAAATTAATATTATGGCTTTGAGAATATCGTCATAAACCAAAAAAAACAAAGTTAATATAAAATATTAGATTTAGAAGTGTTGTTTAAAAGTTATAAATAACTGAATCATGAGTTCTGTGCTTTTATAGAAAGTTTGGAATGAACCTTTATATTTATGATCCATGAATAAATTAAACAGTATAGCTTCTGATAAATTTTATAAAAATATAAAAAAGTGAGAGAGAGAGTGTGTGTGTGCATTTTTAAATGTTATACATGCGGTACTCCGATAAAAAGTCTTCAATTGATAAATATTTTGAAGAGTAATATATTGATGTTATGCAAGTAGTGAGCTTTGAGGTGTAATACTCAGCCCTCGGGGACCTCCTTACAGGCCTGAAGATTGCTTGTGGCTTGGAGTGTGGCTAAGGGAAAAGCGGGGGAGAAAGGGTTCACGAGAAGGCAAGGCAGAGTTAAAAAGGATGTGGAAGAGGCCCAATGCACATCCGTCTGCACTTTATTCTGTTTGTGGAATCTGTTTCTCAAGTGTTGCGCCCTCATTCTGACAAACCCACAGGCCCTCTCTCCCCCCCCCCCCCCAATGTATATTCCTTCTCTCTCCTTCCTTTCCTGCCCAGTACCCGCATCATCATCCCAATTAACTCCTTTTTCCATTTCTCTTTTTCTCTTCAAATCCTAACTAAGCCTATTTTATTTCCTCTACTCTTTATGATGGATGATTTATGACATTTTCTATTCATTTTTGTTTATCTAAAATGTAAAATACTTTATAAAAAGTTAATAGTGATTTATTTTTTAAAAATATTTTATTAAATTTTTTATTGCTCACAAGTATTCTTTTATTAAAAGCAATATTATTTGAAACACGATCAAATCCTAAATGTAGAAACATTTTTTAGTAAAATTCAAATATTAGTTTGCTACATTGGGTATTTTTATTAATTGTACTGCAAAGAGATTGTATAAAAAGTGAAGATAGTGTTTAGATGGATGAATTTAGATTTAAAATATCATGTTTAATTTAAAATTTTATATTTAAAATTTATGTATTAAAATTTTATATTTGAAATGGGATAGTGTAAAAAATTTCAGATTTAAAGACAATGAAAAGAGGAAGATGAAGATGAAAATGAAAACGAGAAGAGAAGAGGGTTGGAATGGTACAATTTTAAATAACTAGAATTTATGATATATTTGAAATTATAAAAGAATAATAATAAAATATCCAAATCTAAATCCACAAAATTTTATAGATCAAAATATTGGATTTAACTCAAATCCAAATATAAATCCTTCTAAATCCAAACATTACTTAAAAATAATTAATATGTATTTATTTTAATTGGAAGATAATTTTGGAAACACTATTAGAAAAATATAAATTAGTGAGAAAATTTAGCGAGGGATCGTCTATTCCTCTCTAAAATATCAAATTAGTGAGGGATATTGATTTCATAACTTGATTTAAAATTAGCGAGAAAATTATCAAGGAACTATCAATCCTTCTCTAAAATAAGAGAATTAGCGAGGAAAATAGCGAGGGACTGTCAATCCCTTTCTAAAATAAGAAAATTAGAGAAGAAAATAGTGAAGGACTGTCAATCCCACTCTAAAATAAGAGAATTAGTAAGGAAAATAGTGAAGGATTGCCAATCCCTCTCTAAAATAAGATAATTAGCGAGAGATTCTATCCTTAGCTAATTACTACAAAAAAAATTAACTTTTGACAATGACTATTAATTATACATTTAATTATTTTCATTTAAAAATAATTAAATTTAAAAATTAACTAAAATATTCATAATAAAATGATTTAATATTTTCTTTATTTTAAGTTGATTTTCATTAATAAAATAATATTTTATTAAAAATATAATATAATGAATAATTTAAATAAAATATAAATATTTTTAACATATTAATAATTGAAAATAAAATTTAATATGCATATGTGTATATTTTTATAATATATTATTTGATATATTTATGTAGTTAAATAATATATATACATATTTAATTTCTTATATAATGATTGCAAGTGCCTTTCAGTTCAACTGGCAAAGAAAGAGAACATAAAGCTTGAAGGGTATGAGGTCAAGGGTTCAAACCTTGACTTTGGCATAAATATGATGAATATATGATATGAGGTCAAGGGTTCAAACCTTGACTTTGGCATAAATATGATGAATATATGATATGGTAAGGAGCAAGTGATATGGCGCAAGGTGGACAATGACGTGTCATGAGTTCTCACACATGTGGTGGGTGATAGGGCGTGAGATGGTAGGTAACATGGTGGTTGACAAAGCATGAGGTTGTTGATGACATTTCACAAGTTGACATCACACGTGGCGGGTGATGTGGTATAGTTATTTTAAAGTATAAGTATATTTAGCGAGGGATTAGCGAGAAGGATTTAGCCCTAGCTAATTTTAGTGAGGGATTGAATCCCTCACTAAATCCCTTACTAATTAGCGAGGGAAATACAATTCCTCGCTAAATTTAGCGAGCCCTTTTTTAGCTACGAATTTAGTGAGGGACAAAATTTCTAGCTAAAATGCAATTTAGCTATGAAAAATGACATTTAGCCAGAGACTCGTCCCTCGCTAAATTTCATTTTCTAATAGTGAAAGTAATGATAATTTTTATCTTTTTAATTATACAAACCACTTTTAATTAATTTTCTTAATTTTCACCTAGCAATTTAATTTATCCTATGTTTTGAATAGGAGGAAGTATTATCTTACAATAATTGCCAATATAAAAAAAATAATTGTCATTTAATACTACTTTCATCTCAAATTATAAGATGCTTTTGAAAAAATTTGCATCCTAAAATATTTTGATAAAAATAAGGCTTCATTAATGATACTTTACTAATATTACTCTTCTCATTGTATTCTCTGTTTCAATATGTTTTCATAAATGGAGTATTAAATTGAAAAAATGATAGAAAAATCCATTTAAATTATGTAAATGACATATGTAAATGCCTCAAGAGGGAATAAATTGGGTTAATTGAAAATTTAAATGAATTGTAGTAATAATAAGTGAGATCAAGGAACAAAATCATCAATCACGAGAGTTAGGTGAGCAAAGCTTGACACAAGTGATTTATCCTGGTTCAACTCCTACCCCTTGAGTCTACCTCCAATCCCTAAGAACCTCTTGAGATTTACAACTATATTACCAAGATTAATCCAGGCTCTTCGTTGCCTCAGTACATCAACAGACTTCTCAATAAGTTTGAAACTATCCCTCTTACAAAGGTAATTATAAATCCCCTTAAGCTCCCCAAGCTTAAGTTCATTTGTTTTGAAGATGTAAAATAGGAATAAATAGAGTAAGTTCAAGAATGAACTACTGCTTTTAAACTCTCTTTAAAAGTAGATATATAATTAATGAAGCTCTCTAACAATAAATGATACACAGGAGGTAGGTAAACTTTAATGTTCAAATAAAACACAAAATGTTCTTGTTAGTTCACGTTGTTCCCTCCTATCTTCAAGTTTCATAGATGAGTCTATTATAGTTGATGATCATAAATGATCTGTTAAACTCAAAAAAATTTTTGTTGGAGGTTCGCTTGTGATTTGTTTCCTTCTTGCTTCATGTTTCCTTGGATATCTGAGCTTCTCTGAGGTTCTTTGGTGGATGAGCAATGGAACAGTGCTTTATGCCAAAGATTTCCTTTTTTGTACAGTAACGGCTAAGATATTAAATGCTTCTAACAAAAGTGATGAAGCTTATACATTTTAGTATAACAAAAAGCAAGCTCGGTGGTATAATCAAAGATAAGCAAACTGAATAACTTCAAAAAAATAATTGTGTTTAAATATTATTTAGTAAATATATAGAGTGAACATAATTGATTTTGGATGAAAGAAGGATTAAAAGATAAGTTCTAGTGACCTTCAAAATTGGTATGAAAAATAAAGCATGAAAATTCATAGTAGTACCGATGTTACAGTGTCCTAGCATCGGTGTTACAAAGATGACAGACTCTGAAAGAAGGTCATAGCACAGGTGTTGTTCTGATAGTACTAATGTAGTCCAATACGTAAAAGATGAAGATTTTTGATAATTTTGAGTGAATAAGGATATTTTTGAAAAGATTACACGGCATTGGTGTTAGAAGGAAATAACACCAAAATAACATCAATCAAACCTCTTCATAGGAGAAAGA